GCAAAGACCTATATCATTGAAGAGAATAGGTTTCAAACCTGTTCTCCTGTGGTTTCAGTGCAAGGGGAAGCAGCTGCTGCTCTGTTAACAAGTAACAGAAAACCACTGCTCTAAACCAAAGGCAAAATGGAGAATCACACATTTGCAACATCTCTGGGATGTCTTAATACTTAAGAATAATAAAATGTCACCTAAATTAGCAGTGTGGAGCATAGCTAACTTTTATTTTGCTGCCTGGTATTCAGATTAAAGAGAAGAGTTTTTTTTTAATCAAGCATGTAATCCTTGTTCATGCTGTTCCCAGTAAATTATACTAGAATTCTCCACAATATGCTAGTTGACATTTATTCTTTAATGACTATTACAGCCATCTGTGGGTGTTTTCAAGAGTAATAGCAGTGACATAATAAAACATCCATCTAGACCTTCCTTCACAGAGGAACAAAATGTCTCCCTTTCCTCCCTTGAAGATTTCCTTATGTTTCTAGGAAATTTCTGTAATATCAGAAAATTATTTTAGGACTGCATGGACTGCATGGATTAGGTATATGTCATGTTAATAATCAAAAATCAAAATCAAAATCAAAGCAGTCATTCACAATTGCATTCACAAGTAAGGGGGGTGGCATCTGGGTGCCCCCTTTATAAAAGGGGGTAGCCAGAAGAAGATGAGCCCCCCTGCCCGCAGGCCCCCATAACCATCAGGCCAGGGTTGTGGGGGTCCCCCCCTGGAAAAGCACCCTCCGAATGCAGAGGGCATGTGGCCTGGTATGGTGGAGGGAGGAGGGCCACTTGTTTCCCCTCACTCTTTCCTGCCCAGCCAGGCTGCTGTGCAGACTAAGGGTCTGGTAAAGGATTTTTGTGGGGACCCCACGTTTTTTTTCATTATTTGGGCAACGGGATTTCCCTTAAAACTCCTACCAGAACTGTTTTGTTTAGTTTTTTTTAGCATCAGGGATCCCCCCTAACATTTCTACCATGCCTAAAGGGTTTGGTATGCATGGGGGGGGGGGACCCCATGCTGTTTTTTTGTTTGTTTTGTTTCTATGGAGTGTCAGAAATTAAAAAGAAAGTAAACATTTAATTTCACCTTTCTGCAACTAATTTTCGTTCATAATGATTATTTAACTCATCCGAAATTAACAAAAATTTGTACTCATCCGAATGCTGATTCCAGCCGTACATAAGCTAAAATCAGTACATCGGCTGCCTTTGGTTAGCTGAACATGCTCTGCATGTTTGGCTGAGCCGAAGTGCAGAAGCCGTTTGACACAGCCGATCCAACTACTGGATAGGCTGAGCCAAACCTCCGGCAGTTAATTCGCTGCCATTCGCCCCTATTCTCATAGGGGCCGAACAGATATGGAGCAGAATAGAGAAAATGTAAAACAAAAGAAAAAAAATGTTAAAAAATAATTTTAATAAATGTAAAAAAAAATAAAAAATGTTAAGAAAAAAACAAACAAACAGCTTGGGGTCCCCCTCCCAAATCATACCAGACCCTTTAGGTCTGGTAGGAATGTTAGGAGGGACCCCAAGTTAAAAAACATGTGTGGGGTTCCCCCAAAAGTCATAGCAGCCCCTTTAGGTCTGGTAGAAATTTTAAGGAGGAACCCCACCCCCAAAAATGGGAAAAACTTGAGGTCCCCCTAAAATTCCTAACCAGAACCCTGATCTAAACACAGGCCTGGCAGGACAGGAAGGTAGGGGACAAGCAAGCGTCCCCCCTCCCTGCCATACCAGATGGGGACAAGGGCCTCTTCCCCACAAGCCCTGGGGTCTGGGGTCTGGTCAAATGACCTGAGGACACTGGTCTGTCAATGAAAGACAACTACTGGGCGGAGCCAGCTGTGAAATGATGGCCAGCTCCACCCAGTTGTTGTCATATAATGACAGCCCTCGAGGATGCTGGGCTGTCATTGAATGACAACAACCTGGCGGAGCCAGCCGTGACATCACGACCCAGTTGTTGTCAGTTGCGGGGAAACCCACTTCGCAGACCGTTCTCTCGGCTTCGGCTGTGACTATTGCTCAGCCGAGCCGAAGCATATGCGTTGGGCTCGGCTGAGCTGCACGGCTGCCTTCGGCTACTGTACGGGCTATTGTGAATAGCCCGTACAGCAGCCCTTCAATTAGACTGAACCGAAGGGCTCCGATGGCCGAAGTGAGCCGAAGGATCAGACGACACTATGGCTAGATCCTTCGGCTCCTTCGTGAATATCCCTCTTAGTTTTTCATTCACCAACTTATTTAGAGACACAGGCACAGAACTGAAGTGTGCCTAAACTCTGACTCTCAAAAAGTCATCATTTGAGGGCTCCTGGGACTATCTGGAGACTGAAAAGTCGGGGATGTGTATAAGCACCTTATGGTGCCCGTAGTTGCATAAAGATGTAGGTTTATACTCTTTTTGTTATTACAGGTTTTATTAAAAACAGGCAAATGATTTAACAATATGGTTTATGCCAAACAATTTGGAAAACATACTATACACAAAGGAATTTCCAAGCATATTGAATAGATACTAACTGGGCGGCCAGGTTGTCCAATTACAGGCTCATTGTTGGGACCCCGATTGCCTGGGTTAAGTATATTAGCAAGGGCTGGAAAATCTATGCAGGATGTACAGGGCTCCCCCTGAAAGAGAATAATTAGGCTATAATAGAATTGTAAAAACAAAATAAATGTTTCAATACATAAACAAAGAACAATAACATTTTTAAATACATATGAAATAAATTACCCCAGAGAGAGCTGGGGTTCTTGGCCTAAACAGTACTGACTGTTTTCTGTCACCTATACTTATGGTGACAGGAAACATCTAATTAGCATAGTATAGGCTCTATTTACTAAGCTTGTTTCAAGAATAAGGATCTTTATTTTGAGCCATATAACTTTATTTTCAAATCTCATTTCACAAGGCTAAAAATAACTGTCAATTCCACACGTTATTTTCTTATTTTATATGATGTGAAATTACTGTATTTAATAGGGAATAGAAAGTGTGACTAATATTTCTACACTGTAACTGTACAGGGGAAAGGCACATTTTTCCCTCTGCTACCTATAATCACAGATTTATAGTAAATCTGACCCAGCTGTAACCTGGTGCAATGGCAGGATTACTCATCACGGCTCACACAGAGATCGCTGTGTAACCTATGAGAAGATCAGTACTGAACCACATTTCAGCTACCTTAGGCCATTGGGCACAAGAAAGAGTTGCAGGTCCCTACAGAGAACTACCTGGCGTTATCACGGCATCTGCTCATCTAAAGCCAGTTTAATTGACGGGGAGAAAGCATTTTAAAGTCTTCTAAAAATAAATCGTCCTGTGTTTATTATGCCTTTCTTTTTTTAGCATGTTATTTAAAAAGAGTACCTTATGTATGATACAGTTAATATTGGTTTACATTCCTTTTATAATAACATTTCTGTAGAGAAAGTGCTGAAGTTAAAAAAATAGAGCTCATTAACAACAGAAGCCATATTTTAAAATCTTAAGCGTAGCTATTTTAACAGATGCAAAGTGGGGAAAAAGAATGTGTCCTTTTTGATTGTAACTCCATGTGGGCATAACAGAAAACAATATTAAGGCTTGGCAGACTTCAGCCATTAAAATGTAATCCTTGTTATACAGAATTACAGGTGAAACTCGAATAATTAGAATATCGTGCAAAGTTCATTTATTTCACTAACGCAATTTAAAAGGTGAAACTAATATATGAGATAGACTCATTACATGCAAAGCAAGATAATTCAAGCCGTGATTTGTCATAATTGTGATGATTATGGCTACAGGTCATGAAAACCCCAAGAACCCCAAATCCACAACCTCAAAAAAGTAGATTACTACATGCAATCAATAAAACAAGCATTGTACATAGAACAATATCAGACCTCTGAAAAGTACAAGCATGCATATGTACTCAGTACTTGGTTTGGGCCCCTTTTGCAGCACTTACTGCAATTACTTTTGCACGATATTCTAATTATTCGAGTTTCACCTGTATATTGGATCTTTGCTCTGCAATATCAGCTTTGCACATTGGGTGGTGCTGAAGCCAAAATCTGGAATTGCTGATCACTGTCCTGAAAAAATCTGGGATCCATAGGAAGTGAAAACTTGTCCTTGTCACAAGGGCCAAATACACCATGATAGACACCAGTCCTTCTGGCAAATGCCAGAAATGCCATTTTGGCTGTACAAATTACAAATTACCTAACATGCAGTTGTAAATAAATAACCTTTTATCTGAGTTGTAATTTTTACTGCATCTTTATGCGCAGAATTTACATTATGGTATTTGTACATTCATTATTCAGTTACATGTAGGCTGTTTATTTTACATGACAACACAGATCGGATCATAGTAAATATAGATGTAATTTTATCTTTCAACTGCATTCATGTTCACATGAGTGCTGTGACAGCTTGATCTAAATGGTAGCCAGCTCCATGCTCCCTTGTAATGAGGGAGTATGAAGCCGGCTTTCCGGCCAATCAGGAAGGTGGGCGGCGTGAAAAGACCTACCCCCCTCTCCTGATTGGATACTGGAAGTTCCGGTATCGGGATAAGTATTGGGAGCATTTGGGCGAGTACAAGTACTTGCCCAAATACTCGGTATTGGCACCGCTACTGATAGTAGTATCAGTGCATCCCTAGTAGCTGCAAGTATCATAACAGCAAGTTTATATTATTATCATAGATGAGTTATTCTTGATTGCATCCTTGGAACACTATCCAGCTCCATTCTAAGCCTGAATATGAGCTTATAATCTATAAACCACTTTCCACCTACTAAGTCCGTTTTTACCATGCATGTAATCATATATCTTATTACACATCACGCTGGCTCATTTCTTCACATTATTCAGTCACACCTTGGGCATCAGTTTAAAAAAGCAACATAGTAAAATAATTTAATGCATTAGATTCTGAACTGCCTTTCTGCCTGGTACACATTGTCATTACCCCTTGTAACCTTTTGCCACTTACCTTTGCACCCTTCAAGCCATTAAAACCTGCAGGTCCCTGTGATAGAGAAAATGAGAAATAGGTATTCATATGACATTTGTAAAACAGATTATGAAACATGGTACTTGGAAACACAGACCAGGTGAAACCCTTAATGAGAGAAACATGAAGGGTGCAACAGGTGACACCTTCTGAAAATGTTAGTCCCCTGGCTTTGTCTATCTTCAATGCTTTCTAAGTCACTGACCCAGGACACGCTTGTCAATCAGCAGTTAAGCAAGTTAGAGTCCATTATCTGCATACTTCTGTTTTTAGTTTGTTCAGTGAAGCTTTGAAAATGAAAGATAAAAACTGATTGGTTGGCATGCATAACTGCTCCAGATTCTGTCATATGATAATAAAAGTTTTGGTAAGCTGCTCATCCTTGTTCATCCTAGTTTTAATAAAACATAAAACTCACTGTTGACCTATACTCATTATGTAATTAAATACTTCAGTGGTAGTGTTTTCATACTTAAAGGAGAACTATGGGGTTAAGGCTTTTCCCCATAGTTCTCCTTAGGGTAACGGGAGGACACAAACTAGCGTCCTCCCGTCACCCTAAGCTCAGTATACCGCGAGCTAGAGCTCGCGGTATACTGAGACGCCGCAGCTGAAGCGGATCCTGACAATTATGCCGGGATCCGCCCAGCTGCGTGACTGACAGCTGGCTCTGCCTATCTAGAGGCAGAGCCAGCTGTACCCGCCCCCTCCCCCGTCCGTTCCGCCAGTCAGCGCTGGTGGAGCGGGGAGGGGGGAATCCAGCCCCACCCCTTTCACGGCAGAGAGCCGTGACAGGATCGAGAGGTGAGTGAACGCCGGTATGTGTTTGCTCACCTCCCTATCTACTGAGCCGACCTGTGACAGTCTCATTGTCACAGGTCGGCTAGAACTATGAGGTGAGTGAAAAGCACTCACCTCATAGTTCTCCTTTAATCCTGAACAAATACATCAATGCTCTAACAGGCTTGGCAGAATTTGGTCATAAACCAATGTGGGCTGATGTGCTATACGAAGGAGGCAATAATCTGCTCACTGGTTTTACACCTCTCACATCTGCTGAATCAGGTAGGACTTCTCTTTTTAAAGTAAAAATTGTTTCACAACCTCCTAGTAAGAAACAGAATATTTGTGAAAATATGATTCAACTGCTTAACTATAAAAGCAATGGGAAAGGTGCAATAACCCCTATCAACCAATCAGAATTTTCTTATCAACAATCTAGCTTCAGTGAACTAAAATGTAGATGCTACAGATTTCTAGACTTTGCTTCTCTTCATTAGTTTTTATATTGCCTTATAAAATAAACTAGATATGCACCGATATATCGGCTGCCGAAACATATCGGCCAGAAGTGCAGTTTTTCTGCCGAAATAACGGTGCATCCGGTCTTTCTCTACTGTCACAGGATCAGAAGAGAGCAGTGTGGGCGGAGACAGTCAGCGCTGTCACAGGAGGCCGGCCGGCGGTGTGGGGGAGGAGTCAGCTGTCAAATCGAGCTCTCCTCCCCGCACACTTAGCATCCTGTGACAGCTGTCAGGAAGGAGAGCGAATACAAACACTCAGCCATCAGTGATCGCTGAGTGTTTGTAAATAATTGAGGACAAAGTATGTTTACTATACCCTCAATTATGCATGAATGGGAAGTGATCTACATCACCTCCTGTTCATTCATGATTGTAGACATGGTAAACATACTATCTCCACATGTTATAAAAGAACAGGAACACTCAGTATAGAGGATTCCTGTTAATTTATAATAGGGGCAGCAGAAAAAGAGATTGTGGACTCTGTGTTCTCAATCTCTTTTTCTATTTTAAAAGGGAAATATCAGGGGTCTGTTTAGACCCCTAATGATTCCCCGAAGTACCTAAAAGTAAAGTAAAACATTAAAATATTTAATAAAAATAAATAAATAAAAATAAAATATTAAAAAAATGTATGATTTTATAAGAAATAAATAAAAATAAAATATTGTAAAAATTTTGAAAAAGTTAGAGAAAACATTTTTGTTTTTTGCCTGACATTTTTTTTATTTTGGTTTCATTTCTGTTTTAACATTTTCATTTCGGTGCACCTCTAAAATAAACATATGTTTCTCTAAGAGCTCACTCTCAGCAACATGTAAGTACAAAATCACATAAATATTTTCATACATTTTTGGTTATTTTCCAGTCAACATTCTTCTTTGATAAAGGGGGACTTACTGTGAACTGTTTTCACTAAAATAAATGGTTTTTACAACATATCTAAACTCCAAAGCAAATTGTTAATATACTCCAGCATTAGACCATGAGTGCTTAGAATAGGTGGCTTCATTCATTTTCTTTTTTTAGGCTTAATTTTCAGCTGGCAATTCTGGCAGTAACATATTTCCTGTCCGAGGGTGACAATGCTTACTCGCTCCACTGTACCTATGGAGGGAGCCATGGCTGTCACCCTACACTACTTACATAACTTGGACTACAAGCACATCCTCCTGTTACTTTATACTTCACATAGGACAGATGTAAAGGCTGTAAAGTAAAACATTTTTGGCTGTAAGTTGTAAAAGATGTAAAGATTGTTTGGTATTTCAGTTTACTCCACAGAAAGTTACAAAGGCACTGGATTTCTGGCAGGATTATCAGGTGCATTGCTTTGTCATCCTAGGACAGGAAGTGTGTTCCTGGCAGGTTTAACAGGTGAAAATAAAGAAACAAATGCAGCCACCACATGTAAGGATATGGTGCAATTGATCTTGGGTTTAGATATCCTTAAACCCTTTTGCTGCCACCGATGTATGCCATATGTTGGCAGCAGCGGACCCCTGTGAACAGACTTCCAGTTTCTAAGCTGTCTTTCCCTGGCTAGAGAAGCCGGGAAAGAATCTGAACAACCATAGTCTGTGCTTAATCAGCTTCAAAGAGCTGCAAAGGTGACTTAGTGGTCTAATAGGCCCCTAATGTGAGCCTCCCTATGTAATAGCAATATAGCTGCGCAAAACAAAAGTTAAAAAAAAAGTTAAATAACATAAATTTAAAAACACCCCAAATGTTTTTTTAAAGTGCCCTGTTCCCGCATACACGCACCACGGGCCTGCGATCAGGGGAGGCAGGTGAGGTGGAGCCTCACCTAGTATTATGGAAGAAAAAGCTGTCAGCTTCAAGTATGAAGCTGCTAACTTTTTCTCCATTGAGACCGACTTCTAACAGATTACACAGCAGGGAAAGCCTCCCTGTGTGTAACCTGTCATGGATGGAGCGCTGCCTGTTAATTACAGGTGGTGTTTCAACCCGGCTTTTGACAGCTATATTAGGTGGCACAGCAGCGGGCTTTCCCACTGCTTTGTGTAACCTAACATAGCGAGGCCAGAGCTACAACAGCCTCTACTTGGTGTTAGAGGCTTGAGCTCTGTGGATGGTTTAGACCAATGGCAAAGCGCCATTGGTCAAAGCTGTCCGATCAAAAAAACAAACAACAATGAGGACATCTATCTGGATGCCTCACCAGTGACGAGCAAGTGAGGGACACAGAGGCTCCTCCACACATAACTCGGTGACTGGGTTGGGGGCTGGGGCGGTCAGGAGGCATGCCTCACCTATCATGGACCTTACTGCATGTCCCTGACACGCAGGTCAATTGCACTATGCATGTTAGGCATTGCCAAAGTGAGAACATTAATTCTAGGGCCATTATTCATAGTTAACTCTAAACTAATGACCCGTACAAGCTTTTAAAGCGTTGCCAATGGACAATTTGGGGTACCATAGTTTTTTGCCATTTCACAGACGCGCAAAATTTGTAAGTTTGGTATGTTGGGTATCTATTTACTCAGCACAACCTCTTTTTTTATATTTGTATTAAAAACTGTTATTATATTGTGTTTGTGTGCACTAAAATTAACTTAAGTATATTTTTTACTGAAATTTTGGGCCTGATAAACAGTTGAGCTAATATCATGCGACATCAAAATTTGCAACTGTCATCATTTTATTCTACAGGGTATGTGCTTTCTGGAAACATACCATTCTTGGGGTTTTTGAAGTAATTCTCAGGCCTAAAATGTGGATTATAACATGTGTGCAAAAAATACAAAAATGGCTCGAAAGAGTTAAAGGTCATTTGCATTTTACCTGCAGAGATATCAACATACATTACCATGAACAAGCCTTGCAATACACAGACAATTATTCTTGAGCATTCAAACTTGTAATATTGGTCCGTCAAAATTTACAATCCCTTGTTTTTTCTTCTTCCTTTTTTACATATATTATTTTCTTGTGTTTCATTAAGACCTTGATATGATTTAAAGTAGGGGGGCCTATAGACATAAACGAATGCTAACAAAATCAGCCATTTATGGCCTAGATTAGAATGGCTTTATGTCTGTAAACCCTCCTAACTCTTGCAGATCTCTTGTTTGAGCTTTCTTGCAAATCTCTTGCTTGAGATAGTGAGGTAGATGACTGCCCAGACTGAATTTGATTGGCAAGTCAAAAGGTACGTTAGCACCATGCATGTTTGCAGAGTATTTTCCAGTTCCCCCTCAATATGCACTAACATGGTCATTCATCCGATGCAAATTTACATGTTTGTACAATGATCTTTCAAAAAAATGCTTGTTTGGCTGCTGAGTCATGTATTCATAACTGGTCTGCATCTAATGTAATTACAGTGTACACTTATATGTATTTGTATCCTTTACTGGGTAAGAAATAAACAAACTAAGATAACGGGCAGATCGTAGTCTTAGATCACACCTTTTCTGTTCTTATAAGCCCCTTTACAGTAGATTCCACATAACTAACTAGCACACTATTAGCTGTAATTGGTAGTGTACAGCAGGAATCATATGACTTCAATGACTAAGAGAAGGTGTTAAGGATATTCCTCACTCCAAGTAAAGTTGGGTATACCTGTTCACCTTTAATTCCTTGGTCACCTTTTTCCCCCTAAAAAATAAAAAGAATAACAATATGAAAAAATAAAAAAGAGATATCATTTAGATAAAAGTAGTTAAACAGTTCTAGTCTATGAGGAAACTGCGAGATGTATTTTTTTTCCCTAGTCCTGCGCAAAACTAACTTCCCGAGCATTCGTTTTCAGTGGCCGCAGATCAGTATTGTTAGTCTTTTAGCATAGTTTTTGTTTTTGGTGCCAGGGCATCAGGCACAGATATGGCAACTTTGTTGTTGCAAGGGTTAGTGTTAATGTGTATTGGAGAGAGTAGAAAATGGTTAAGGCCCTGTCTGTGGTTTTTTCCTGTCTTTGTCCCTTCAAGGAGATTTCCCTTCACTTCTTGTGCCAGAGAAACAACAAAAAGAGAAAATCTCTCCAAAGCATGGGGAAACCCCCTGTAAGACAGTTGTGAGTAAAGCAGGTTTTGGATTTACCCTCAATTCCTGTCTTGGTGACAATGGTCACCAGGACAAAAAGAGAGGATAAATCTCCCCAGCAGGAACAGTGACTGCATCCTATTAGATAAAGTCACTGTTAAAGGCTGTCTGCATACAATATGTGGCAGTGGAGATTCCTCCATCCACACTGTTTAGCATGGATGGGGTAACTGAGTGGTATCTATCGTTTAGCCCATAGGAGTAAATTAGATAACTTTACACCTACTGTATATGAATAGTCTACTCTATCCAAAAATATAGAAAAAAATGTGGGCTTTAAATACACATGAGTAAGTTTATGTGATTGGGTTAATATGGATATGGTCAGGTTAAGTGTTATGTTTATGGTGTATGGTGGAGCTATTACTCTTGTGGGGGTCTGAGCATAAATCTTTTAGGACACAGCCCAATCATCCATAGTTTATATCAACACTTCTAAAACAAAGAAATAAAAGAAGTAGAGGGTCTAAAACTAACAATTTATTAGGTAATTTGACCTTTAGGTTAACAGAGAGAGAAGAGTAATCATTTAGCCTGACAAGGTTAAGCTCTTCAATGTCAGACAATTTTTGCATCTAAAGTACAATTTGAAATTTAATTGAAATATAGTACAATTAGAAATCAAAATAAATCTAAACACAATTTTTAGAGATTATCAGAAACTAATTTTTTTTTACAAAGTTTGTCATTTTTTAGTTTTTTAGAAATGTAAGAAATAAAACTATACGATGATTTGTTATAGTTTAACTTGTAGGGGCATCTAACTTAGTAAGGGGGTCATCATGTAGTAAAGTGTCCTTTGATTTCCAATGGCAGCCCGAACAGAAGGGTTAAGTGTTCAACGGGACTTTAAGATTGGTGAAGCTTAAGGTGTTATGGACACTTTGGAAATGCTAGTGTTTTTATTTGTTTTCACCACTAAAACCCCTTGGCTGGGAACTACTGCACTAGGCCCCTGGCACTAAATGAAACAATAAAAAAGCTCAACAAGAATTGGGAACAGTCAGTTTGGAAATAACTGATTTATCTGTAATAGTCTAAAGAATCTAATCATGTGAATGCTGCAGTTTTTAATGGCCAGTTATATTTCTCCATACCTCTCTTTGACTTGGCCTTCTTGTTACTTACTTGTTTTCCTGTCTCTCCGAATCCAGTAAGGCCTGCTTGCCCTTTCTCCCCTTTAACACCAGGCACACTGATAACCTGTGTGCCATCAGCATTCACAGCTGGGCACACTTCACATGGTTCACCCTGTAACAGAACACAAGAGCTTTATAAACTCAAACAGGAACACCTATTTTAAAGAAAACCTACATCAAATTATGTAAATGCACTATGGAATGTGATTAAAGTCAAATAGTAGTATTTATTTAACATGCATGATAACAATACAATTTTACCTTTTCCCCTTTGAACCCTGAGATGCCTGGTTTTCCCTGTGAAAAAAAACCAGTTGCAATAAATATTCTAATATTCGTGATATACTTTAGATAACAGCATACTCAACCTCCAACAAAAGCCACAGACAAGTCTAAACACATTGATATAATGATTCTTAAACAGTGGTAATGCCTAACTCATAACAAGCATTCATACTACATGGAGGTGCTTGCTGTAAGACATGGTGAAAGTATGAGAGGTCAAATGAGGCTATGACTTCTGTGTCTATAGGGTCCATGCATAACTGACACTTATTTCATCATGCTCTGTTGACATTACTAACTACATGAAAGAATTGCAGCATTTCTTTATATTTTGGATCTCCTTTTGCTTACTTTAGATCTCTATAATGTTTATTAATACCAACTAGGTCCAATCTTATTTAAAAAATAAACCACATCAGAGTCTTATAAAAAGAAATAAGTGGTTGCCATGATCTGATGTTGCCCCAGAACCCAACGGCTTTTAGATACTCCAATGTTACTGTAGATATGTAAACGCTATTATAAAGTAAACCCTATAATACTGCTGCATAAAGTGAGGAAAAAAATCCAGTAAATATGGCAAATAGGTGTTCTTGAGAAACTGACCGGTTTTCCCACTGCTCCATCTCTTCCTGAAGTCCCTGGTGTACCCTGAAGACAACAAAGAATATAGGAGCATTAAAACATTAATTGTAGCATTACATCATTGGCAAGTGTGTTCTGTGATCATCAAGTACATGGCTGTATGTTAGTATTTATTGGTATTTTTTGTTTAATATCAGCACAGAACACATCTGATACCTGGAGATGAGCTGTTGGCTGTTCACATGTACTGGGGCCTAGAGAGTAAAGGGGTTCCATTTTCCAAGCAATTAATTGTAGAACTGTGGAAGAGTGGGCCCTATTGTAATATCTGCTTGTAATACTGAGCTTACAGCAAATTTTACTGCTCACATGTTACAGACTGAAAAATATGTGTCCTTCACAAATGCCTCTTACCTGTTTCCCTGCGGGGCCCGGAGGACCACCTGGATCACCCTGAAGGACAGAACAGATACCATGAAATCATCAGTTTTATATGCAAGCTACAGATGCGTTGTAAAGCTAGGCTATATAAAAGGTTAGTTACAGTAATAATCAAACACCTTTTAGCATACTTTAATTTAGATGCTTTTCAGAAGATTCTACCTGAACTTTCAGTCAGTACTATAACTGTCAGCAAACCCTGACAATCAGATGGCCTTTTGCCAATAATTCCTCATTTTTAGCAGAATGCAGTCTACAGCCTCATGAATATACAGTATAGCCTCTGAGTTCCTTAAGAGATCTTCTTATCCTTTATGTAAAAGAACTGTTATTGCCAATAACAAATACGTATCTAAAATGTTTTTATGTTTCAGCGCAGGTGGACATATTTTGTCATGTGTTTACATTTGCTTTAAGGCTAACTGCAGCCTTTGGTTATCATTTTACGCTGCAAAATGCTCACCAGTTGCTGCTTACAGTATCTCCTTTTGGTCAAGTATCTGTGTCCTGGATAATGTATTTTCTAATATAACTTTATTTCCCTTATCTTCAGTAGTGAAAGCTCTCAGCTTTACTGATGTATTAAAATACTTTAAGTTGTGTTGAAATACAACTTCAAATGTCTGCTAGCTGAAGTGTTCTCCACTGAGAAACCAACAACCATCATCAATGCATGCAAGCTACAATCCTGTCTGTCAACACTGAGGGATTAACAGAAGATTCACTGGCAGGATGTGAAAGAAAAATGTTCTGAAACGACAGAAAACAGCTAACTTACAGGTTTGCCTGGTAATCCTATGCCAGGGAGTCCTGGTTTTCCTGGAGGTCCCGGTTCTCCAGCCAGTCCTTCAGGGCCTACAATTCCAGTTTCTCCCTATTGCCAGAAAGAAATAAAAAGTAATTTAACGTATTACCCAATGTTCTACGAACATATCTCATTGAACCAAGTGGAAATAAACAGAGTTTCTTTGCAAGGCATGCAGCACATTGTAAATACACCCTAAGTATATATAGTTTAGTCTTGAAAAAGACAAGCAGTGCCTTGTCGAAACGTCAACCAGCCCAATAAATGTATCAATGCTGTCTCATAACAACACCTGTGAGTGCCTCTTCTCCTCTACTGCCTGTATCTAATTGCCTTGAGTGGCCCCGGGCATTTTTTATACTCTTAACTGAGTGTGCTGCCCACCATTGGACTTTTCTGTATATATATATCTAGATATATATATATATATATCTAGATATATATATTTATTGGAAAAAATGTATTTTTGTCTAGTTTTTTAAAATTTATATGTGAATTTGCTGTATTAAACACGCCAGTACATAGCATAAGTTACTCACTTTTTATAACTTAGATGTCTGGATTTTTTTTTTTAAATTACAAATGCCAATTCAACTTATTAAAGATTACATATAGCACAGTGGAGAATGCAAACCCAGCCATGCAAGAGATAACAGGTGATTATCTAGGCTACATTTGATTGCAACAATCTATTCTGATAAAGCTTGCTTCTGAAATGGCAGAATTGTTTTTTATTAAATCCTAATGGGTTTTGCTCAGCCTAAAAAATATCCAATATTATCTCTAGCTTTGTATTCAATATGTATTTTAGAGTCTTACATTAAAGGCTAAGTTTACCTTCCTGACCAAGTTACACTCATATTCAGGGTGTAACATGAAACATGGTCACATGGCAAAAAACTGAAGACGCCAGTAGGAACATTTTCTAGTGAACAGTGATGGCCAATCAGCTCATCCAGCGCTGTCAGAATACAATAAGCCCAGGGGTGATTCGTCTAGCCACATTGTTTAGCAAGGCTGGAGGAATCTGCTATATTTTTTTTGTTCAGCCCTCACTTCAACAAAACCTCACCTGCTCGAAAATTTCCTTTGAGTTTCGTTTTGATTTAACATTCGATTTTAGAATGAAAGGGGGTTACCGAACGAAAACCAGATTCACTGTTAGAATTTCGTTTGATCGAGAAAAAAATTCCAACATGCTCGTTCCAAGTTTTTCATCACTGCAGTTGCAAATTGAGCAAAACTTTGACCCCCCAGTCAACTATATATAAATATATAGCAAGCTATGCAACTTAGACCCATTTTCTGTTTACTATAAAAATGTCCCACTGCACTCCTGACCGGAATGTGCACCTAGCCTATGGTGGGGTGCTGCTTTGTGTCCCTGATAAAGGAACCAACATGGTTCCGAAACGTTGCCACGCATTGTGAGATGTCCTTTGTGTCAATTAAAAGGATTTGACAGCAGTAACTAAATTTTCCATTTTCTGTTTAGCCACACCCTATAAACCATACCAATTTAAGCAAATCCTTTTATTGAGGCAGCTAAAGTGAATATCGTCCTAAAACTGTTGTCAATGGCTGACATCTTTCCAACTGTGCTGAATCAACAAACCTGAACTATAGGAAACTACCGCTTGACAGTGTACCCATAGGTTGTTGCCACTGCATATGGCATGTAGCAATATAGTTACCAGGTATTTTGAATTCATGCTGTTAGTTACTGGAATAAATTACCATTTTGTTCAAGCCATAGGTGTAAGGCTTGTTACAGCGCTGTGTAGTCCACTTTAAGTTTGCACACCTGGATATTGTTTTTTATATTACAGGAATAACATGTTTAAAATATATATAAACCCTAATAATTAAGTATTTTTTTCTCCCTCTGTCTGTTAAATATATAATTAAAAGAGTTTTGTTATATATTGTTGTTATGTGCATAAAAAACACCTGTTGATCTGGCCAGAAATCTTGTCAGCTGAGAACCTCCTGGGCTTTCTGCCGGTGCTGTACTTTTACCTGTACTAAGAATTACATGACCCTACCACAGACAAGAGGACAGGGGGAGGTTTCAGTAGAACTGCACTGCTTTTGTGCTGATACAGTAGGGGGAATAAGTGTTGTCATACTAGAATAGGAAGTGTGTTATGAGTCACCAGGTGAAAATAGAGCAAAAAAAAACCCTGGCAAAAAATGCAGCCACCTAAAGCTAGCCATCCACATCAAGATTTCTCTTGTTCAGCCCCTGGGCTGAGCAAGAGAAATCAATTAATTTCACCATCCACACTAAACAGTGTGGATGAAGGAATCTCGACTGCCAACTATTGTATTCAGCAGCCGACAGGACCCGTGGATACCTGAACAGTGAGCGCATCTAAATGGCCACAGTTACTGTTCGCCAACAATTTACCACCTGGCTACTTCAACAAGTCAACTTTTGTGGAGCCAGGTAGTGGTAGCAAGGCCAAACACCGCTCGTAATTTGAGCAGTATACAGCCAGTTTAGGTCTTAGGACAGATAAGCAATATATTACCTTTTAGTTTTTGGGTTTAAATACGTTTTAGGTATTCACTTACCTTATGACCCTTTGGTCCCACAACACAGATTTCACCTGGCCTGCCCTAGATTAAGGAAAGCACAGCTGTATAAATCAAGGAATCATTTCATAATCTATATATCATTTTGTAACCATAATGGGGGGGATTTATCAAAACTATAGCACTTCTACATAGTAACCAATCAGCTTCTCTCTTCATTTGTTCAGTTAACCTTTAAAAATGAAAGCTAGAAGCTGATTGGTTGCCATGCACAGCTGCTCCTGAATATTCCTGCCCCAGTTTTGATAAATTCCCCTCTGTGTGTTTTGTTCACACTATTGTTCCATAAGTAAGGTATAGCATCACCAAGTCAACAAACAAAAAATTGCTGTCACATGTTGCACAGGCATGCACCTTTGCAGCCTTTCCATGCAAGGACTGAAGGACTCCATGGCAATAGAGATAAAATTAAGTCATACCTATTATCTTCTACAATAATAATTCCTAAGCCTGGTATTTTGCTTTAAAGCCCAGCTTTAGTGATGGAAGCTATGGATATAGTGAGGAAGGGTTACAGATGCTGTCTGGTTTTTACTGCTGTCTGCCTCTATATTAGTGGAATGTTATGTGTGTTGGTGCATTAAGATTTATTCTGAATGGCACTTCAAAGCACCTTCCCAGTGCACCTGCATTGAAGCTCAACACGGCAGCACAATGCCCTGTGTTGCAATGCAATTCGCTGCCAAGCTATGGATATAGCGAGGAAGGGCTACAGGTGCTGTCTGGTTTTTACTGCTGTCTGCCTCCATATTAGTGGAATGTTATGTGTGTCGGTGCTTTAAGGTTCATTCTGAATGGCACTTCAAAGCACCTTCCCACTGCACCTGCATTGAAGCTCATCATGGCCACACAATGATGTGTGTTGCAATGCAATTCGCTGCCAAAAATGCTGCACGCAGGATTTTTTGTCTGTTTTGACGCATTAGGGTTAATGCACATAGTTATATTAAAATACTCCCATCTATGCTAGAAAGTGGCAGAAAAATCCAGCATAAAAAATATGGATTTTAATGTGCAATTAACACACATACAGTATTTAAAGGCCTATGCACGTAAACTAATTCTATTGGCTAGAATATGAATTGATTCTAGCCACTAAAATAAATTTACATGCATTTACATATAAATTATGCCAGTAAGCTCCTCTCTGAATGCAGGTTCGGAGCATTTTATTTTTATGCCCCTGAATGCTGCTGTAAAATAGAGATCTAAAGACCAGAATGTGCATGGCCAAATTGGCTAAAATACAGCTGCGTTGAGAGTTTAAAAAAAAAATGCCCCAAAAAGTGATGTTTCTTCTGCTCATGTGCATGAGGCCTTAGCCTATTCAAATGAATGTGCTGCTCTAATGCAACTTGTGCTGGTGTGAATGGGCCTTAAGAGATTTCTTCTCACTTCAGGGACAGGGACATTAACAAACACACATTTTTGTGAAAGTGAGGAAAGATTAATACTTATAATAATGTTTTAATTGAAGCTGAGCCTTCCTGTCTCAGTGGCAATTGCTCTTGTTTTGTAAAGACACTACGGAGACAGGAATTAAAGGAAAATTACACCAATAGGATCAGAAATAAAAGCCCCACAGAAATTTGAACTTTTCCTCACTGTATACAAAGCTAGAAAAAGATGGCTGGAATTAGGCTTCAAGGATCAATTATCTCTATAATAGATGAGAATATTACAGAAGTTGGATGAGCACTGCTTACTGCTAAACTGGTCATAAACAGGAATATGCAAAAGAATTTAAATGTTTGCAATGTCTGATTGCTCCTCATCCACAAGATCTGCCATGAGAGCCTTTCCTGACTTGCTCTGTGTAACATAAGCTGGCAATCAGCATGCTGTAGTGGAGGGGGTAAGCACAAACATGACATTTTCCAGTGTTATGTCAAGGACAGCATAATAGCTCCTCACCAATTGCAAGGAAAGAAAGTAGACTATTAGCTGGTAATAAGGGACATTATTATTGAGCAATGAGAAAGTATGCTACAAAAAGTGTCCTCTTAAAGGAGAACTATGAGGTGAGTGCTTTTCACTCACCTCATAGTTCTAGCAGACCTGTGACAATGAGACTGTCACAGGTCGGCTCAGTAGATCAGGAGGTGAGCGAACACATACCGGCATTCGCTCACCTCTCGATCATGTCACGGTTCTCTGCTGGCGGAACGGACGGGGGAGGGGGCGGGTACAGCTGGCTCTGCCTCTAGATAGGCAGAGCCAGCTGTCAGTCACGCAGCTGGGCGGATCCCGGCATAATTGTCGGGATCCGCTTCAGCTGCGGCGTCTCAGTATACCGCGAGCTACAGCTCGCGGTATACTGAGCCTAGGGTGACAGGAGGACGCTAGTTTGTGTCCTCATGTTACCCTAAGGAGAACTATGGGGAAAAGCCTTAACCCCATAGTTCTCCTTTAAGGCCAAAACCTGTTACAATAGGCACATGGCATTTCTAGTGAACTTCAAAGTATACCACCAGAATCGTGCAATAACCTAATTTTATTAATTTGCCACACTGTGGCTATAGGTTCATGTACATAATTTTTGTTTGATTCATAAATTCCTGTAAATACTTACTGTAACTGAATAGTCAGTTTTAATAATTTTCAGTAAGATAATGAAGAGTCCCTGAATATGACTGTAAATACTGTTATTTATTGAGGTCATGGTATAGATCATAGTAGCACTTAGTTACATTCTACTGTACTTGTTCTGTAATGTTGAAGACGTTTCGTAGCTTATCCACTTCCTCAGATTGGATGAGTGTCAGGAATATACCCCAGCATTTCTATCCACACAGGTAGCACGACACCCTAATCCAATCTCCATAGACAATAAATATATGCCTTTCCATTATAGAACAAGTCCAGTTTAATGTGACTAACTACCACTAGCTTAGAAGTGTTGAAGTTAAAAGTGCGCAAATTGTTAAGTCAGTGATGAATTACAATAATAGCTTCATGTGATTTGGTATCTACGTCACATTTTTCAGTACATAGGTAAGACACCTTTGACCCCCTGCTTATATTGGGTGTTGCCAGGAGCCATTGAAAGCACCAGAAGAATAAGCAGAGGCTTCCAAATCCTATTCAGTGGAGTACAAGTGTAGTAGTCCTATCAATTCAATTTTCTGAAGGGATATTATAGAGTCTCTTCTTTCCACTGGTTGTTTGAAGTGAACAAAGATTTGATCTGATGAACATGGTCTAATGAACATTTATTAAACTACCCCACCAGAATATGTATATATATCAATACTTACATCCCGACCAGGCGAACCAGAAGATCCTTTAAATCCTAAATCCCCCTTTTCGCCTTTTTGGCCCTAGAAAAAAAAATACAATGACTTCATGAAGATCAATTTTATGGGCTTGAAAAAAAACCACGCAGTACAAGTACATGTTGCTTACTGTCTCTCCTTCTGGTCCAGATGGTCCCTCGTATCCTCTTGGACCCTTTTGTGAAGAAGATAATTAGTTGGCTACATGATACAGTGAATCAAAATTTAGTTTTTGGAGAAACTCAAAGTCTTGTTTGGTTGAAAATGCAAAACTAACTGGTGCATATTTAATAATAAGTAATGCAATGCCTTTCTCTCTCTGTATTATATAGAGGGGGTAACGATGCTGCTTGGGAACCTGTGAAGAGTCCCCAAAAGGCAAGACCTCCATAAATCAGATGAAATATTACCCAATCAATGGTAGCAGGTTGAAAAGCAGGGTGGAAATTCATACTAGTTCCTAGTTAGCAGAATGTGACCATAAAGCAAAAGTGATGGCGCAGTTTAAATGTGGGCTTAAACTTTTTCTCATGGGCCTCTGCATCGTATGTCGACCCCTGAATAAAGATGTCCATGTCCTTAAAATCAGAAGTTCAATTATATCATTATACACAAGCAAGGCTCAAAATAGTATTTTGGCACTTTTATGTTTTGTAAGCTATTTATTAACTAGAGATAAAGAGATCATAAAAAAGGAGTACTATAATTTAGACAGGAATTTTTTCGTTCAGGAAGAAGCCAGTACAGGATTCTATCTTTTGGAAGGCCAGGTGCTTTGAGCAAGCAGTGTCATGTCTCAAGTAAATAGCTAAGTTAAAGTGAATCTAAAGACATTTATAACATTTTAGTTAAAGTGTATGTAAAGTCAAAACTTTTTTGTAATTGCTAATTGCTAATTGTATAGCATTAGACCCTCTATTACATTTGTATTGCTGTCTATGTCCCCCCTGGGAAGATTCATCCCTCTATTTGTACAGGTGACCTTTCTGACTGAGACAGAAAATAAGGGGATCCAAAATGTTATTTTGTTAATGTTAAATATGTTAATTAATTTTAATAATGTTAATTATCTATTGAGGACAAATGTTCCGGTGACAATGGTCTAAGATTGTAATTCCATACACTTTGGGGAGACTTCCTCTCACACCTGTTGTGTCTCCAGGACAGAAAGAGAGAAAGGAAATCTTCCTAACAGGACTCAGACAGCAAACAATAATATGCTAGGGTTTTTAACTCTTTCCTACTCTATCCAAAACTATAAAAATAAACCTTTTTTGGCTATGAAAGCACCTTAAGTGTTAGAACTCACTTTGGAGAGACGTCCTCTCACATCCTTTTGTGTTTACAAGACAGGAAGTGAAGGTGAATCTCACAAATTGGATGCAGGTGGCAAAAAAAATGCCAGGGGTTTTAACAATTCGCCAATTTATCAACATGGAAAAAACACACTTTGGCTATAGAAATAATTTAACATTGATGATAAACAATATGTTTGATTATAATTGGAAAGTAGTATCAAACGTATACAAATATGATAAATATATAATAATGACATCCTGTCTCATCCTGACTACTGTCAAAATAAAGTATCTAGAAAACAATTAGGTCAGCTGGGTTACTTTATTTGAGAAGTACTGTACATAAATAAGAGAAGGCAAAATACATATGGTCCGGGGTGGAATGACAACACATGGGGCCCTCGAGCAATACGTCTTACATCTTCACATCTTCATTCCCCTTCCTACACTGCCCACCTCTGCACCACCTGCATCGATCTTCCTACACTGCCCACCTCTACACCACCTGCATCCCTCTTCCTACACTGCCCACCTCTACACCACCTGCATCCCTCTTCCTACACTGCCCACCTCTACACCACCTGCATCCCTCTTCCTACACTGCCCACCTCTACACCACCTGCAGCCCCTTTCTAATGCTTCTCACATCTGCACCCCCTTTCCTACACTGTTCACCTCTGCATCCCTGCCAGGGGGTGCAGAGGAGAGCACTATGGAAAGAAGGATGCAGAGGGTACAGAAGTTAACAGTGGTAACGGGCCCTCTCCTGGCTGCTGGCCCTCGGGCAGTGCCCGAATGGCCACTCCGCCCCTGCATCTGATTATAAACAAATGCACACTTAAGGGATAACTATATAAATATGTTGACAGAAGATTGACACAACTTTCACCAAGAATTCACACATTTTCCAAACAAAAATCCAATTAGAAAACGTGCAAATCTTGGGTGAAAGCAGCACAGTGGTGTAGTGGATAGTGCTTCTGCCTTGCAGCACTAGGGGGCCCTGGTTTAAACCCCGGCCAGGTCACTATCTGCAAGGGGTTTGCATGTTCTCCCTGTGCTTGTGTGGGTTTCCCCCGGGTACTCCGGTTTCCTCCCACACTCCAAAGACATGTTGGTAGGTTAATTGGCTCCTCTCTAAGTTGGCCCTTGTATGTGAGGACCCTCACAGGGTTCTTGAGGGCAGGGAATGAAGTTAATGTGCACTATGTAAAGCACTGTGTAAATTATCGGCGCTATATAAATACCTGTAATAACTAATAAAGCGGTGTACATTTTTTGTGAAAATATTTACACATACACACCTTAAAAATAAAATCACTTATCAGTCACCAGCGAATTAAATCAACCACAGCAGTATTTACTGTGCATGTTATGTTTTTTATTGTTATTATTATTATTATTATTATGTGTACTTGTGTAAAGTGAACTGACCTAAATAATATTTATATGTTTGCAATGTTAGAATTATAAAACATATATTGTATATGTAATTGTTTAAAAAAGAACTACCTCTGCAGGGTTAAGTGCTCATTTTTGTCTATAGGTGTAAAATTAATTAAGATTTAAAAATTAATGAATTAATTAAAAAAGATATACTCACCTGAACCTTTGAGTCGCCTGGCTGTTAGACCTGCCCCTCACAGCCTCTCTCCCCCTCTGCTCTGACGGTGTGAGGACCTGTGAGTCATTATGCCTAATGCAGTGTATTAAACATGAGGATGCAGAGGGAAATTACACGGCCAGAGCAGAGGGGCAGAAAGAAGGCAGGGTCTGGTCTAGCAACAAGATGGGACCGAGCTTCGGTTGAGTATATGGTTTTTACTTTACATCTTTAACCCTTGAAGTGCAGAGGTAGCCCCACTGCAAGGGTTACATTTTATTTTAACCTGAGTTCTTTAAATATATCTAAAATATAGTCAAGGGGAAAAAACTTTTTCAGAAAATGTAATGAAAACTGTGAAACCTTGTCTTATAGTGTATCACTTTTAGAGGTATAAAAAGATGTTATATCGAGAGTCAGTGTCAACTAGGTAATATGCTGTAAAGTGGGTTCAAAGCTAAATGTGACAGTCCCTAGCACCCTCTAGTGACAAAATTATGGAACTCGTTATAGACCAGTTTTCCAAGGTCAGTCTATACAGAAAATGAATGGTTAACATGTTTTGCATCAAACGATAATGGCTTCTTTGTCTTTTAGCAAGCCTCCTGCATGTTAAAGTATAAAAGTGTTGTATTGTACCTTGCTGTTTGTACCATATTAAAAATAATTTCTAGAAACTCTTACACACTGGTTAGGATCATAATTGAAGTCACAGGCAATTCAGTTTAATCAAAGCTAAAGGCTTACATTAAACCTTTTTTGTTTTGGATAGGAATGGTTAATACCCCTGTCAGGCTTTTCTTTCTGTTCCCCATTGGGGACATTCCCTTTCACAGCATTAATTAAGTGGAGATCTCCCTGATTTACTGTCCCTGCAAAACATTAGTGAGATAGGGTTGCCATCAGTCTGGTATTCACCCGAACAGTCCGGTTTTGGAGTCTTGTATCCAGCTAGAGGTCACCCAGACACAAGACACTCAGTGCCGACACCGGCACTTTATATTTTCTGACAGATGCGGCTGCTGAGATCCCTGGCAAGAGCAATCTCAGACATCCGCCTCTGCCTGAAACCGGATCTTTCTCTGAGCTGCGAGCAGCCTGTGCCTGTTTACAGGCGCCTGCAGCTCAGAAGAAGATCTAGTTTCAGGCAGCAGATGCATGAGATCACCCTTGCCGGGGAACTTGGCAACCACATCTTTCATTGCCTTCTCCTCCTCTTTCTCCTGCTCCCTGACACTGTGCTGCCCACCTGCTAGCCCCTGGTGAGACACCATAGCCCAGACAGCCCACTTGTTATTGGCACAGCACACACAGCCCATCTGAGAGTCGCACAGCCCACTCCCAGATAGCAAGGATAACTTGCCACAAACTTGTGGCAGGGTTAAATTGTAATTCTTGTTAACTTGCTGCACACATTCCTGGCAAGTTGTAGACTTGCAGAACACTCGCAGCACAAGTTCTAGTTGACAATTTTTGAATTTGTAGCAAATTTTCTTGGCAAGTCTACAAGAGTCCTGCAGGTCTTAGCAAGAGCTCTGCAAGTGTACAGCACTTTGCAAAGCACATTGATCTTCAACAAAATTGTGAAGTTTGGCAAGTCTGCAATAGTTTAGCAAGTCATTTTCAAACTTGCAGCTCAATTGCTTGCTATCTGGACTGTAGTCCTCTATAGACAGTCTCCTTACTCCCTCTCCTGACTGTCTCTTCTTGCTCTTTATTCTGCCTGCCTTTCCTTGCTCTCTGCTCTTTATTCTCCAAAAACAAATATTGCCATGCGAGGTGCTAGAGTGTTTGGGTTTCACTTGAAGAAAAGGTGGCAACTCTACAGTGAGAAGGTATCAGGAATGTAAAACATGCTCCTATTGTCCTGCTACCCGCGGTTGCCAGGTAACAGACCATACACTGTTGTCCGCGGTTGCCAGGCAACAGACCGTACACTGTTGGCAATTCCCCCTCTCTCACTAGTCGGCAACGGGAGGCATCTCAGTTGCTAAGTAAAGAATTAGTAAAGTAAAGACTTGCTGCCTGTCCCACCTCCTTGATCATAAATGGCCAGCGGGGCTGTGGTGCCCTATTTGAACATTATAAGCCCAGAAGTCTAAGCCTGTGATAGTGTTCTACATGTGGCTCACTAGCTGCCACAGTGTTATCTGAATCCTGACCTGCCTGTCATCTGACTCTTGCCTGTTTGTTGACTGTGTCTCTTGCCTGCTGCCCCGATTAACCTTTTGCCTGTTTACTGAACCTCATCTTGCTTGTTGACTGGAATGGCCCTTTCCACATACTTTGACCACATCTCTGCCTACTCCCTGGACCCACCTGTTGTTGGATTACTGACTTTGTTTTGCCTGCAGCCTTGACTTGACCTTTGCTTACATGGCTAACTATGCCATACCAGAACCCTAGTTCTTCCCTAGATTAGCGGTCACGCCACTGCCAGCCTTTCTTTTGCCACGTCTCTCTGATTACTTCCCTGGCAAGGCAACGGTTCTGCCATCCTCTGCACCTTCCTATCCACAGATACTCTTCATTCTTCCCTTGGTAAAACTCTTGAGCTACCTGGCCAGAGAATATAGCATCATGTATAAGTCCCAGCGGCAACCAAGTAGGCCCCAGCTTGCCTTAAGGGAACAAGGGCTGCTAAAGGCAAAGTTACACTAAGCTAGCTATATTATCCGACCACATGTACAGGAGCAAGCATTACCCAAGGGTCATCAGGATCAGCGGGGACAAATACAGCAATATAAACCTGACAAGGGTTCAAACTCTTGAACGTTCTATCCATCAGTATAAAAAAGTTTTGGCTTAACATACACTTTAAAAGATAACTTCACAAATCCCCCAAAAAACAGCAAACAGAAACTACTTAGTTAGGAAAACAATTGTATCTTTGCAATACACAGCCTGCTTGTATTGCTGACAGCCACCTCTGCCACCCCTGTAGTTAATAATTAGCTGAGCCCCTAGCTGCAGACACCACTCCCTTGTAGACACTAGTTATAAGAGCAGTCAAAAATATGGGGTGCATTTATAAAAGTTCTGCCTGGCTATGCTGTTCGCACTATACACGTCACCGCCATCTAGGGGTGCTAGTGCCGTGCAAACGGCATCCACCTAGCTATACGCTGGGTGGCACTTTTATAAATCAACACCTATGTGTAGGTGGCACAATGCAATTTACTATCGTTGCCCTAGTAATGTAATTATTTACTTTTTGCAAAGCAGCCCAGTTCAATCTGAAGCTGAATTTCTTTCATTTTTTTATTTATCAAGTATTTTTACATTGGTCCTGTACTATCTGCCTTCAAAAATGCCTATGTTACATTGTTTTAGTTTAAAAAAAAATAGCAATACAATCACAGGGAACAATATTATTAAGCAAATATGGCATATCTTTATACTCACCACCTCCCCTCCGGCTCCTTTCTCTCCTTTTACACCCTCAGCACACTATGTAAAATGAAAAAGAAAAAAAACAATTGTGGTTATGTTGTGAATAATATAAATAAAAGAAGGTTTAGGAAATGCCTTCACCCTAGATAATACAAATCCATTTAAGGTGATGGATCATTCTCATATATTACAGCTTGACACTTATAGGTGAACGATCCAGCATGTTAAGACTGCTGCTGTATCTCAATCATAGCACTCACTTGAAGGGGTCCATCTGAAGAGGTTCGGATGCAATCTGCTCCCTAATTGAAAAACAGAAGGAAAAACATGAATAAAATAGGCTTCTGAGTTATAGTATCATAAAATAATAAATGCTTTGTATGGATATACAGTATTTAAAGAGTGCCCAATATTTAAGGCAAAGGCCCTGTAAATAGTACCATACATGTGACTATAGCTAGAATACTGTATAATGACGTTATTTATGGGCAAACCTGATCAATCTTATTTTGGATTTTCCCATATGCAAACATGTGAACAATATGGCAGAAACATAACATTCAACAACAACAGAGATAATAATTATAGCAATTTAGTCTAAACCAAAGAGTTTATGGCAGGGTTACAAGAACTCACAGTTCTTGTAGCCCTGACATTTTAGAACATTTCTATACAGACTGAATCCAGGGGTTATATACTGATGTACAGGATTTAGCCTTGATTAGCCCACATCTTGCACATTATGAATAAGATATGGAAGCATGACAGTACATTGGTTAAGACTTAAGAGATCAACACTCTTGCCTTGAAGTGTTGAGTCTGAATGTTCAATTTACATCAAGGGCACTTGATTTTGATGTTATCCCTGAGTTTTGTAGGCTGCTTTTCCATTGTTTGCTTCTACAACCCAATAACTTAGTGGTATATTAACTGACTTCTGGGTAAATTGACCATAAAGTAAATGTGCTTGTGAGATGAGTTGCAAGGATGATAGATTGATTGCTCCTTGAGGTGGGACTGATGATGACGTATGCACTGTATAATTACAAGACATAAACTGCATGTGAATAGCAAATCTACATTTTCTACACTCAACAACTTTGACTAAAATCTTTGAAAACGTATTTTTGCTATATCCCCCCTATCGTTTTATCCTGAATTGCCCTCAGACTACGTGAACAGGTTTTAGGGATCGGAGTAGCAGCCAGCAGCACCTAGACAAAAACGAGCACCTAACCCTTGCACTGGGGGGTAGCCCCATTGCAAGGGTTAATAACACTTTTGCCCAGAATTCTGCTTTAAATACATTAAAAAAAAATGATTAGTATATACAAAAATAAAATAAAAATACAAAAAAAAATAATAATTAAATAAATAAAGCATGGTGGAAT